ACATACACAAGTTATGCCTAATGGACACATTTATTTTATTTTATTTTTTGCAAAGCAATTTCCCCCAAAATAACACATTTCTCTGTGCTGTTCTCACTAATATATTCACTTGCAGGGACATTTTACTCCCGTAGATGCATTTTGGTAACACATTACTTAGCTGGAGAACCGCACTGCAAAATTTCAGAGAGGTGCACGTTTGAACGATGGCTGCGTTTTGGTTCTCCTATTGCCTCGGAAAGTGCAAATTAAGTAGATTCAACTTTAAATGCAGACTGAATCAAATATCTTCCCCCTCCATAACCCAGAGGTCAGCAACTCCATCTGCCCATGGGAGAAATATATAAACTCCTTTTCCTCCTCCCTTCAAAATCGCAGGAGAAGCAGCATAAAAAAATAAAACAAGAAGTGCGACCCATGGCATACTTCCCACTTCAGGGCTGCTTGTAACTTACTAAAGTGCTCCTAAATTCATGTTGGGTCCAAACCCAGGATTTGCACCTGACTTAAGGCTCTGAATGCTGATGGTGGCCTCCTTCTATAAAATAAAAGGGAATAAAAACATTTCTTTTCTATTTTTAGAAACTAGCACCTTGAAGAGACACAATGGGCAAGGCAACTGCAGATACTGTCTTAAATTCCCCAGAATGGCTCTTGTCCTTGACAGCTACAACCACCTAGCTCAGTTCATCTATTTAGAGAGGAGGGCTATATATGACCAAGTGTCTCCATTGCTGTTCATCATCCACTGGTAAGTTTGTGGGGACCATCTGGACAATACTGAGGAGTGAAGGGTACCTTGCTCAGGGCCCCTTCAAAGTGGCTACACCCCATGCCATGCTCACGTCAGCTGAAATTGTGCCATTCCCACCACTGCTCTTCCCATTAGGCAGATTTAAAAAAAAAAAAATCAGTGTAAACCTGAACTTAATTAATATCAAAATAAGCACCGCTACATTCAGTGGGCCTTATGGACAAACGAGATAATAGTGAAATGTGTGAATCCATTTAATATATCTGTTCTTTGCAAAGAAGAAAGAAAGATGGTCATGTATGAGTTCTGATCAAGATTGGGACTATGATACATAGGGAGGGGGATTTTATACTGCCCAACCACAATACAGCAGTTCTGGTGTTTCCCTTGTGCTCACATTCCTTTCACAGGTTTGAAAGCACAGGTGCTATAACTCCGCTGATAATTTTGAGCAGCGATGAACACATCTTTCATGTCTTTTGAAACAGTTGCTACCTGAGCCACCAGTTCCAAATAGTGATCATGTGAAAACCACAGTTGGATTATCATAGCCAGGGAACGGCCTGTTGGGGAGGGAGGAGACAGAGCACAGGCAGGGAATGTGACCCTGTGATGCCGTAGTAAGAGACCTCGATAAAAAGTAAGACAGAAGAGAATAAATGCAGACAAATTTATCCAGAAGAGGAGAAGCAAATAAAAGGATAAGGAAATAACCCAATTAAACAAAACAAAACAAAATCAACGCTTTGCCCCATGCCTATAAACAATTGCCAAGTATAATTCAGCTTTCTAAATCAACGGAGACCCTATTAGGATTGATCAGCCGGATTCTGTTATTTGCTACTTGGGAAGCAAACATTAATGTAGATGGAGTTCCCTCTTCATTGTAAAAATCCTATTATTATTTAATATTTGTATTATAAAAGGCATCTCAAAGGCCAGCTAATTTAAGGACCAATTTGTATCATAGTAGACACTGGACACACATATATAAAGTGACATTCTCTGCCCCAAAGATTTGCTGATGAAAATGATTCCAGCTAACAAATGTAAAGAAGCAAATCATTTTCCCGCTCTGCTGCTTTCTGGTGCAAATATTCTGAGATTCTGGGTATACCAGAACAGGACATCTTATTGCTTTAAAGCTAAGCAGTTCTCTCAAGAACAAGATGTAACAGGCAACACACCTTGGAATGAGGAAATGCTACAGCCTGCACTGATCCCATTACTGTGCTCACCCGCTATGAAGAGGGCAGAAACCCAGTGACAGCTAAAGGCCCATCAGTGTGGGCACTGGATGAAAGAGGAAATCTTAGCATTAGAGGATTCATCTTAGGAACAATAAGGCTCATTTTCGCCTACTGTGCACTGATCCACACAGCTACAGCAGGTAATATTTGAAAATCCCATTAGTCAGGGTAATACAAGACATCTGTCTTTGGCAGGTGTTTAGTTGGAGGCTGTGAATGACAACAGGTTGCTGCCAGCAGGCCAGTTCCAAAGGGGAAGACACCAAAGATCTTCCTTGGGTCTCTTTTTCAGGGCACGATAAAGCTGAGGACAAGGGCAATTGCTTGTGGATGGGTTTGCTTCTAGGTAAGAGTTTGGAGCAGCTCTATATATGTTTATAAGTACAGTAGTACCTCAGGTTACAAACTTAATTCATTCTGGAGGTCCGTTCTTAATCTGAAACCGTTCTTAACCTGAGGTACCACTTTAGCTAATGGGGCCTCCTGCTGCCGCCTCGCGATTTCTGTTCTATCCTGAGGTAAAGTTCTTATCCCTGAGGTACTACTTCCGGGTTAGCGGAGTCTGTAACCTGAAGTGTTTGTAACCCAACGTACCACTGTAAGTTAAATAGCTTCCAAGTGAAAGATGGAATAAGGGGAAGCTATGGCTGTGGGGAAAACATGAATGTAGCTCATGAGCACAAATCCAGTATGATTGGTGGTTATTTTGCTATTTTATATTGTTTCGTTTGACTAAATTTTATTGCGTATTTATTTTGTTTTAAAATTTTGTTCACTACTTTCAGGGCCTGTAAGACAAAAAGTGTTATATAAATTAACTGTAACATGGCAAAGTTATGCAGACAGTGCCTCTGCGTGAGCATCTCTCATCCGTAAGTACAGAGGCAGCCCCACACATTCCCAATGTGCATGCAAAGAGAGCAGCTGCTAGCATGAACTGGCGCCCACTCTTAAAAATGAACTGAAGTGACAAAAGGCTGTCGTTCTCCAGTCACCTACTGATAAACTGAGAGCAGAATATCATTCAGGACAAACATGCCAGGCAGGCAGAGGGTCCTACCCTTCGTTCTCTGATGAGTTCTGACGTAAAGATGGCAGGTGGAATAAAAATAGCAAGGGTCAGTGCAATGACAGCTACACTGTCACTACCAGAATTATGGAAGACCTGGGCCTTAATGAAGTATTTCACCAAGGACACTGAGAAAGCTTGTATTAGAGCAGGGGGAGGTGGGAGGGGGGAACATGCTTGTTCTGAAGATGACTCAAGAAACATTCTTAGATGAACTAGATAAGCTCAAATGTTGGGCACACCCAAGAAAAAGCAAGGCTTTAGACGTTCTGAGCTGCTGCCAGTATGACTTAGGCATTCATTGTCTGTAGAAAAGAAAATGTGAAAAAAGAGTTAACAGCATCTAAGGCTGCAGTTAAAAGGATTCCCTTACCTTTGCCGTGTGGAGGAGTAAAATATTCCCACTCAGGATGTGAGTTGGAAAATCTAACATGAATGTTTCACCCTTTTCAAGTTTCAGTAAGACTGCTTACCTGGAAGTAAGCCCAGTTGCACTCAGTGGAGCTTACTTATGCATAGACATGTATAGAATTGCATTGTTAAATGATTTATGACTCTAGCATGGATGGAAAGTAGGCCAACATAAATTCATCAAGTGGATAATCAAACAAATGTGACAACATTATATACAAGGGAAAAGAATCTCATTTCCAGTTTTCCTAGGAATCTATGCATGCTTCGTGCAATTGTCCTTCTTGAAAACAATGCAAAATAAAAGAAAGGAGCAGAACAAGAAAAGAACATAGTAAGAGCCTGCTAGATCAAGCCAATAGAAAACCTAGTCCAGCATCGTGTCCTCACGGTGGCCACACAGAGGCCTGTGGAAAGCACACAAAAGAACAGAATGTTCCGAATGATTAGACGACACAAGCTTATTTAGACAGCTGAGGAGCCACTTAATCCATTGTACTATTCAACAGGCAGTGAAAGTCTAGCAAATCTTGGGAGATTTCCTTCCTTTCACCTCAGATCTATATATGCCCAAAATAGAGGACTGCATTTAATGAGAGGCAGAACTACTAATGGCAAGAATTTTAAGGAAACATCCAGATGTAAACTGTCACTTGAGCTGTTCTCAGAGTTATGAGTCCTTCTTCTAGTCTGCCTAATATAGACCAGTGATAAATTACATGTTTCACTGCCAATCATTTCCAGAAACAACACAGAAGCCCTTCTTCGGTTAGTTTTCCACATTACTTCAGGAGCCCCTACTAGGAACACTGACAGAAAGCTCTGCAATACTGGCTTAAAATTAAATACTTTATTAGAGACTTGTCAGTGAAAATGACAGCACAGGCCTCCGGCAGAAATCAGCTTTTTTGCAAGTTTTCCAAGAAGGCAAGGCAAGGCAGTGGAACAATGGGACAAACTTAGAACCATAGCAAAGGACTAAGTATGTGGAAGAGCCCCACCTAGTGGTGGGTGGTTTTGCTTAGTTATTTCATTTCCTTCCACAAGTCTTCTATACAAGAATTTCAGATGAGCATGAGTGTGCAGTGGCGGAGCTTCATGCTCCGGCACCAGGGGTCAGAGAGCAGGCAGGGGCAGGGCTGGCACGCGCCTGGGGGCGGGGCGCAGCCACGATGTCACCCTACTGGGATCGCACTGCCAGGGGCGGTGCACTTCCCTCACACTCATCTTCCTCCGCCAGTGTAAGTGTGATGTGTGAATCATCATGCAGAGACAGAAAGGCTTGGATTCCAGGTTTTTGATATAGGAACAGAAGTAACTGTCCTCTATTGAAAGAGAGCTGAGCTCATGGAAGGGTTGCTTCTATGACCAGCAATGTCCTCCTGCGAAAAGTTCCTCTAAAAAGTTCCATAAACTTTGGATTAAAGAACAGAATGGAGGACAATAGGATACTCGGATACTTCCATGGGTGGATATGCAAAATTATTATTATTAATATTATTAGTGGTAATAATTGGTCAACCTGGATGGCTCAGTTGGTTAGAGCGTGGTGCTGATAACACCAAAGGTACCAGTTTGATCCCTGTATGGGACAGCAGCGTAGTCTTGCATTGAAGGCGGTTGAACTAGATAATCCTCAGGGTCCCTTCCAACTCTATAATTCTGTGTTCTAATATTGCTACTATTATTATTGATTATAACCCAAAACAGAGAACAGAACGGCTAGCGACAAGTACAAATTTAACTGATTATTATGAGTCTATTATATTGTGTTATTTAAAATATTTAATCAAAAGTATTAATGAAATAAGACACTTACAAACAACATAAGCAATACAACAAGAAAAAAATAGGCCGTATAAAATATAATTACCACAATCAAAGCAGTCAACAGCACAGTAAAAATAAAACAATGAAGCCACTTTTGTTGTACTCCAAAAGCTAATGAAAATAAATATGTTTTTAGTTGTCAGCTGAATGTATACATTGTGGGGGACAATTGGATCTGTACCGGAAGAGAGTGCCATCAATGGGGAGCTGTCGCTGAGAAAGCTCTATTGTGTGTAATGCCCCCCCTTGACCCTACTCAATGAGGAGTCCCACAGGAAAATGCTCTACTTTGCTCTGCAAGATGGAATTAACTTCATGCCATATTTGGGTCACCTTATAAATGTACCTTTGTTTACTTTTATCACAGAGGCACAATGTCTGTGCAAAGAATGCTAGTGAGATAGAAGACAGCATGTATTTGTTCATTTGGAAGCAGATGTGCTAAGGAGAAGGGGGTACCCAAACTTTGACTAGGGCCACTTAATCTGTAATCCAGGGCTGTGCTCCTCTTACAGCTGCCCCCAATTTATGCCTGCCTCTTACAAAACTCACCAACATTTCATGTCTGGTGGCCTCCATGGGTGTTAATTTCCAGAAACTTCCCAGAAATCTCTCCACTCAGCTCTCTACCATTTTGATGCCATTGTGACTTCTACTTGGAGTGCTGTCATGAATTTTCTTTCACATGTTTATATGACAGGAGAACAAAAGCTAAACTTCCACCTCCATTTTCATCAATGTCTGAGCTGCAGATCAGCACAAAGTCACCATGAGAGAAATATGCTGTGGACGGGATGAGCTGAACAAACAAGAAGGGTTTCTTTTTTCCATTGGCACTGATTGGCACCTGCTCCTATGCACTACTGCCTTAGTGCAGGATTTTATTTTCAATTTATTTAAGCCACTTTTATGCCACCTTTAAAAATATCCCCCAATGGATGAAATAATGGAAACATCAAAATGATGACAAAACAATGCTTAAAATAATATACAATAAGCTCAGAATCATATCTACTTGAGAAACTATATACAAGAGCCAGCAGAATATGATGCATCAAAACCCCTGTGAAACAAAGAAATAGGACTTGACTGAGCTCCCTGGGAAGGGAATTCCATAGTGGTAGAGCCAACACCAAAGGGGCCCTGTCCCTGACACTGGCCAATCTACTCTTGCTGGAAGCACGTGAGAGACTGGGGCTGCTACAACTGATCTTAGAACACTTTTTTATAATATTATTATTGGTGTTTTTCTAATTATATATTTATTTATTTATACCCTGCCTTTTCCCCTGACAGGTACTCCTGGCAGCTTCCAGATAAAAATAAAAACAACTAAAAACTTAGAAAACAACATTTAATAATAATTAAACTTTGATAGTTAAAACTATATCTATCTATATCCATATACTGTTAAATGTTATTATACGTCTCAGGCTTCAGGGAATTCCGATCCTCCCCCCTCATGGCAGCTGCCAAGGAAAGTAGACAAGAAAGTTCTTACCCAGCCTTTATTCAATATTCACAGAGAAAGGCTTAGGAATGCTGCCTCTTAGAGTAATGGCGTTGCTCTGAGTAATCTCCAAGCCCCTCCACTTCTCCACTGTCAGCAGCAACACCTCCCCTTACGGTGGCCGCAAAGGGTCATTTGTCTTTGAGCCCTTTGCTCTCCCACTTTCAATGCTCTCTGGATCCTGGAAGAAGGGGGGTCTGGAATGCTATCTAGTGATAACATGTCAACCAGCTGCTCCAGCTCTCTCCCCCCCTCCTCTCCCATTATCTCTCAACTCCTCTCTTCATCTATCTCTGAGCTGTGACCTCCCTCAAACAACTGTTGTAAATCTACACTGTCTCCCTGTCTTCTCTGGAAGGTTCAGGAGGCGGGGAAGGCGGTCCCCACCATTCTTCCTCAGTCCAGTCCCTGACATATACATTTGGGTCTAGCAGAGTGTACAATCAAGTTGAATCCTCTTGATCCACCTCCTATCCCCTACAGTTGACTGAATTCTCCCCTCTTTGATGCCCAAGAAGACTTAGACATCCATCACTCCAACTGTTCCTCAGCCATTTCCCCTTCTTCCCCACCCCCTCCAAGCTGCTTGATAAGCTTCACCATGCCAAATGATCTCACCAGCTGCATTTCCTGTTTTATTGAACAAGAAGATATTCCTTCTGTTCATTTCTTCTGTGTTGCTTTCTGACCTTGCACTGCCAAGTTTCGATGAAAGAAAAACGTAGGCTTCCAGATGTGGGCTTTGAATTATGCTACGGGAAAAGCTCCCTATGCCTTCATCCTATAGCACCTGTTGTAGGCACAGGATCTCCCTCTGTCCTCTCTTCTGAATCAAGTATTCCTAGACAGAGAAAGAGGCCATCAGAGGTGTTGACGCGTCAAAGAGCACAACTCACTTATATATTTGGCTGGCTTTGCTCCTTGTAGATGTGAAGTCTGACTATGAGGAATTTCCATCTCTCCTTTATTTGAAATTAAATATTTAGTTAAGGCAACCCTTGGGACTATTGAACAGATATTTGAACAGCTAATCTATAATAGTTGAGAACAGATTGAAACACATCATTATAATGCTTAACTAGATGTTAAATGATTAAAAGGACCAAGACAAGTACCAATGCCTGGCGCTTAAAAATTAGTGTGTAATAAAGCCATAGAGCCCCAAGGATATTAATTTTTTCTTGTGAACTTCAGAATTCCTTAACTGTAATATCATTGGTTTACATACAGCTATGTATATTGAAAGAGACTCATTTCTCTCATGCAGTGTCTTTGAACAGTAGAGCTCTAGCTGCTCTGACAACTAAAGCGCAGATTAAATATTAGAGGCAGAATTTAATTAACCAGCCCCACTAATGGAAGCCCATGCAAGGACTGCTGCTTGCCCAGTGGGGCTTCTTCCCCTCTGCCCCACTGAAATTGGCTTGCGAGAGGAGGGGGAGTCTGGATAACCCCAAGAAGAATGGAGGGGGGTAGTAGAGTGGAAATTGTTCCATCTGGCAGAACTACTGGCATCTACATCAGGCTTGCTCAACTAGTGGCTCGCTATGATGAACACAGCCTACCTGCCACATCATCTATTCAGCCAGATGTTTGACAATAATCCAATTTTTTACAGTCACACAGACAGGCAACAAAAAAAGTATATTTTCTGATGGGTTGCCATGCATGGCTTCTGGGTTTGGTGAGTGACAACAGAATAGACTTCATCTGTGCTATAAAAATAAGGAGCTGTGCCTTTCAATAATATGCATCTAAATACATCTTTGGTTTCATATCTGTTTATATGAGCATTCTAATACTGTGCTGTCTGGTAGAGAAACAGGCACTTTAATAAATTATTCCATTCCTTTTCCCCCCCCTTTTTTGCTTTCAGTTGACAATTCTCAAAACTGTTTCCTCTGCTAAAGGGTAAAAAAAAATCCTCTTAAAAGGGGTTATTGTATTATTATGTCCCTCATAGAATATGGCACCACCAGATTGTGTGTAGATGATGATGATGATGATGATGATAATAATAATAATAATAATAATAATAATAATAATAATAATAATAATACCCTGCCCACTCTGGATGGCTTCCAACAAATATAAAAGCGTAATAAAACATCAGACATCAAAACATTCCTGATACAGGACTGCCTTCAGATGTCTTCTAAAAGTTGTATAGTTCTGTATCTCCTTGACATCTGATGGGAGGGTGTTCCACAAGGAGGGTGCCACTGTAACTTCACTTCTTGCAGTGAGGGAACTTCCAGAAGGCCCTCAGAGCTGGATCTGAGTGTCTGGGTTGAATGATTGGTGTGTATTGTGAATTTTCCACCTTTAATCATCATGCAGAATGGCCAGCATATGGATTTTAGCAGGTGAAGCTTTTCCTGTCATGGTTATCCATGATGGAAGAAGCTTCACCTGCTACATATTCCATGTTTCCTAAGAAAGGTCTCAAATCCCACATTTCTTGAAAATCTGGAATCTATCAAGTTTAAATAGTTTGTCCCTGTCAAAGCAAAGCAAACATGGTTGAGCTGTTAGAATGGTGTTTATTTTAGTCTCTTCACATGCAATAAAGATGAGCAAGTAGAGACCTGTAGGTCACATTGAGGCCCCACCTTATTTTTATTGACCTCAACTAGGTTCTCTATGCCAGATTGGGAGTGTGAGGTATGGTACAACTTCTTACCAAGTAGGTACCCATCTCATATGTGCCTGCAATGTAAGAAGGAGCAACACACATACCTCACCCTGACAATCCTGCATGGAAATGGTGGTGGTGGGAACCAGAAGAGCCACATCTTACTTATAATCATCCCTCCCTTGTGTTGGGCACTCAGGTCATCTCAGAGACCTCTGCAATGACATACATGCCTCCAGGGAGATTTATAATTTCCAAAAGACTGTCACTGCCGGGTTGAAGGAAACGTGTCACTCTGCTTCATGCTGTATTAACTAAAGTTAGAGTAGGCCCACGAGCCTTTGCTGGGAAATCTGTGCTGGTTAAAGCAGCACATCAGAGAGTCCCATTATTTTTCCACCTATTTTATATAGGGAACTGTTTATGTGCTTTAGGTATTTTGTTGCTGACTTCCTCCCTCCTTTATTTTTCAGAAGACTTTTGTTAGGTATGTATTATGTTTCACAGTTGAATCTGAGACAAGTCGATAATGGCTTACATTATGAGATTCTGTATTTCTCAGGGGTTGAGTTGTGGAGTTTATTGCTGGCTTGACACTGTGTGTAATTTGACATTGCTG